TATATATATATATATATATATATATATATATATATATATATATATATATATATATATATATATATATATATATACTGGGTTTGTTCACAACATGGCGACTGTTATAAACGGACAGAAATATAAAAATCATAAAATAATGCGAATTTCCATAAAAATTCCGAGTAATATTTGTGAAGATGAATGGGTAAATAAAGCATGGTGTTATTTTGTGTCTATGGCGCAAGAATGATCGACAATATTTTGAATAATTCAGGTAAGGATGGCTTTATTTCGTTCTCGTATAGTGATGTAGTCGTGCCGTGTGCCCTGTCTACCTGTCTGGTGATATATTTTATAATACATGAAGGCATTTATATTTAAATCTAGGATTCTTTGATTAAACTGTGCCAATCACAAAACAGAATTAGCAGTTTTAGTACAGATTTTGGGCGTGTTAACCCATTAAGCGCCAGCGCTCTCCCCTTGACGAGTAAAATCGTCTGGCGTTAGACAGAGTAAAATACTCTGGCATTAGACAGAGTAAAATACTAAAGTAGGGTGCATCAGGGTGCAATGCGACCCAATGGGTTAACTAGACACATGGGCAGATAGATCAGTTAACCCATTAAGCGCCAACACTCTCCCCTTGACGAGTAAAATCGTCTGGCGTTAGACAGAGTAAAATACTGTTCAAAGTAGGGTGCAATGCGACCAAATGGGTTAACTAGACACATGGGCAGATAGATCAGTTAACCCATTAAGCGCCAGCACTCTCCCCTTGACGAGTAAAATCGTTTGGCGTTAGACAGAGTAAAATACTGTTCAAAGTAGGGTGCATCAGGGTGCAATGCGACTCAATGGGTTAATATAGTACATAACATAGGTCATAGACATACAGTTTCAATACAATACAAAATGATTTTGAACAACGTCAAGGTCAATGTAATCATTATATATATATATATATATATATATATATATATATATATATATATATATATATAAATCTGTGAAAAAAGAAAGATTCGTCGATGTAAATAAAAATTTCATCAGTGTTTCCTGAGCATTCTGATGAGCTCTGATATAGAGCGAAACAAGCATATATTTAGCAATTGTCCTCTGTCTTGAAGAGACATGATGAACTAACGTGATTACTAGATTGACCAGAACTGTTGAAGTTAATATTACTACTATTAGATCATTGAGTGTCACAAGAATATCATCATTTAGTGTCAATATGAGAGCAATATCAATGAAGTCAGACTTCCATGCGGTTCATAACACAAAAAAGTTGAATATAATCTCAGCGTCTCGTATTCTCGTCACTGTCAATCTATTGAACTCTTCTGTTGTTTATAACGAAATCATCTCCATAGCGCGCACGAGCTTGAACAAAAGCTGTTTATCCAGCTTTTGCATGGTCAAAAGTTCGCCCTTGGACTTGGCTTTGCCACGAAAACAGAAACTGCAGCCACATTCTCAATCACACTTGTTTCGAATTTCGTAAAGCGAAAAGCTTTCCCCAAGCGCTTCGAATCTGTCATAATGACAACAACAACACTGGCAACATGTTTCGAGGGATTGATACCGCATTAACTATTTTCGTGATGAGACACAAACTCCAAAGCTAAACACAAATTATTCGAATTCACACCATATTCACACCTTCGCCTTCGGGATTTCGGTTCGCCGCCCCAGCTGTTGATATAGCAAGTCACACAAGGTTCAAAGCGGCCTTTTCATAAATTTATTCACGATTTTTACAGTTAAACAGTTACAGTATAAGATTGTGTTATTGTGTACAAAAATTTCCAGCGTAGAAATGTACAAGAAATGCGGCGAAGTATTGTCAAACATTGCACTCCTCGGTCACAAATTATGTGGAATGTTACTTTGAACTCGTCATATACTTCATCTTACATAATTAATGTGGATCAAAACAAAAAACGTAAACATACGCTAACCATACGCTAACCATACTTCATCTTTCCGTCATAAAAAAGACTCAAACAAAACGGAACTTTCGAATCATATTTGGAAATTAAAAGAAACAATCAAGATTATACCATCAAATGGTCAATTTTAAAACACGCTATTTCGTACACAGGAGAACAAAACGCCGCAATTTATGTTTGGAAGAAAAAGTTTGCATTTTGAAAGACATAAACAAAGATAATTTACTCAATAAAAGAAGTGAAATTTTCGGCAAGTGTACATGTCGTCACAAAAACCGGTTTCGAGTAAACAAGGTCGTTAACAAAATTTTATTATTAAATTTTATTATTAAATTTTATTAGTTCATTGTCGCCTGTTATGGCTAATTTGTTCATGTAAGAATTTGAAAAGAAGGCCTTAGCTACTGCAAAGTTGAAACCTGGTTTCTGGTTCAGATACGTGGATGATACATTGAGTAGCTGGTCTCATGGACTAGATAATTTACAAAAGTTTCTGGACCACATTAATAGTTTGCATTATCAACTTCAAAAGTAAATTGTTTCGAGCTCTTTGCACACATAAGGACAACGTAAATGAATCTCAGAAACCTGGTGTGTACCGCATTCCTTGTGAATGTGGTCTGGTTTACATTGGTGAAACTGGTCGAAATCTCTCAGTACGTTTAAGGAACAGAAGACGAATTGCGAGAAAGCCGAGCAAGATAAATCTGCTGTGGCTAAACATACTCGGACTTACGACCATTGTATAAAATGGGGCGAAGCAACCATTTGGGCGATTCATAGTCATAAGTTCTCTCGCAAAATGAGAGAGTCAATTGAAATCGAGAAGCACAATACTATAGATCAGGAGGGAAAGCCACTAGATAGTACGTGGCGTCCTCTCTTTAATGTGCAAAATTAATTTCTCTTGTCTTGGATGCGCACGCGTTAATTGGAATCACTTCACTATGTTTGAAATGACGTGGTTGATGTGCCGTTTAATTAAATTTCAAATGACGCAACACTTTTGTATATAAAAAGAGCGTGTGAATTAAACAAGTCACATATTATTAGCACTGATAAAGATCCGGGCTTACGGATCGAAAGCTTTGCAGTAATAAATTTACGTGGTGTTTCCACAAACAAAACTATTAAAATTTTATTACCTGCAAGCTTTGTTTCGACTAAGCACTGTTTCGCCTAAGCATCAATTGTTTCGCCTAAGCATTGTTTCGCCTACACGCATTCCGAGCATTCTTTCGATAGCATAAAATCAACCTACATTTTCGAAATTACTCACCACACGGATGAAACAGACTGTTGTGGTTTTGAGGTATATATATATATATATATATATATATATATATATATATATATATATATATATATATATATATATATATATATATATATATATATATATATATATATACAGGTAATTAAAAAAAATTGTCCTTTGCAAACCTTAAACTCTAAACCTTAAACCTTAAACTCTAAGCGCGCAAAGCATAATGGGAGCACAAATTTCAAGCTTAGTAGTTGTATAATGCAACTGTTTGTGAGTGAAATGTTTTCGGATGGAGATATTTACCATGTCTCTGAGAAATGGGCTGCCTAAATCGTGCTCCCATTACGCTTTGCGCGCTTAGAGTTTAAGGTTTAAGGTTTGCAAAGGAACATGAACTTGTGGTTAGAGCTCGACAACTGGCCCCTGTAGCTCAATTTGCTAGAGCGCTGCACCGGAATCGCAGGGCTGCAGGTTCGATTCCTGCCAGAGAGCTTGTGGTTGCATTTTTCGCAACTGCTCCTGGTTAGATCTAAAATTATATAAAATTTACACTTGAGATTTCCTTTTACAAAACCGTTCCACATTGGTTATATGGAGTGAGATGCCCAAAATCGTGATACGAACGAACGAAACGAACGAACGAACGAACGAACGAGCGAACGAACGAACGAACGAACGAACAAACGAACAAAGCAAGCAAGCAAGCACGCACGCACGCACGCACGCACGCAAGCAATCACTCACAACCACGCACTCACAAACACACACTCACAAACACACACTCACAAACACACTCACAAACACACACTCACAAACACACACTCGCGAACACAGAAACAAACACACACTCACAAACACAGAAACAAACACACAAGTACATTTCTGTCTGGGAACCATATTTAATGAGTCCTGTCTGTGTGTTTTAGCGACGAGAATACATATACTTTGGAGCGTCTGTGTGCGCCGTTGATGTAAACGATGATGGGTATGTATCCATTTAAATGTTACAGCGAGCATTTAGTTCTGTTGTTTTATGAAACAACTGTTGGTAAATGTTTATCAGACGTTGCGCCGCGCTATACCTGAAAGGGACTTCAGCCAACTGCAAACGTGGGTCGGAGGCCGAAAATATTGTCTGCAAGTTTCAATTTTTTCCAGTATCTTTTTGCAATTTTTACACTCTTGGTGGTCAGATTTAATAGATCTTGTATTTCAATCTTTATCTATTTTCACTATATTTTTGAAATCAAATCACAGGCTCTGGGATATATTTCTTCTTGCCAACTAAAAATTGTCTTTATCAGCCATCTAAGGCATAATTGCCAAGAAAATTCTCCCCTGGTTCCACTCGCCTGCCGTATCTCTCTCGCATGTGTTACGAAAATCGAGAAAAACTATTCTAATTACTCTCTGAGCTTCATCCAGTGCTTTGTCCCACTTGCTTAATAAATTTACCATGCAAGGCATAAATTGCCGATGATTTCGGCAAACCAGCCTACTGATGGTCAGAAATTTTTCCATCCGCATCGTCATACATTCATCGAACAGCGAAGGATTCTTGAAACTTTGCCAAAACACTAGTTAGAGCGATCGCTCGTAGGTCTTCAACAAGTGTGCATGGCGTAGTCTTTGGAATTCCCGATACCTTGTATTTTTCCAAATCATAGGAAAAGTTTTTGATTGAAAAGATTCGTTCAAAATGTCCGTCAAAGGTATAGCAAAACAATTCCCAACTGCTATGACTAAATCATGGTTGGTGATATGAAACACTCTGGATCTGTGTTGTGTGCATGTTGCATGTAAGTGATGCCAGAAATGTATATCACGTCTAGTGCACATCGACATACCGAGCATCGTCAAGAGCAAATGGAAACCACAATTAATTTGTCAAAAATGCTTGGCACATTTAGTAAAAATAGCAACTTCATGTCGCAGATTTCCCTTTACATGAACATTATATGCCCATTGTATTCACAATTTCATATTTAGACTCCCCCACATCTTTCTCCCTCACAATGTTGCTTAACACCTTCTGAATTTACCTTGTGAATTACCCACAACATTGTCATGGGTAGGTATGATTTTTATTGAGTTGACTGTCAAATTCAGCCTGTTGATATGTGCCAATATTTTTTACTAGGCTTAACAGTTAGAGCTTAATTTAAATATACATCTTAACACTTAATTTAAATATACATCTGTTCTGTTTTTGTCAAGATATGATGATTTGATTGTTGGAGCGCCATTCTACAGCGGCAAAGGAGGAGATGAAGGACGTGTCTATATTTACCTCAGTTCTGAAATTCAATCAGTAAGTAACGAAATAACAGATTTGAAACAAGATCTGTTTGGCGAGTGTCGAGTCTAAAAACTTGGCGTAAAGAAATGGAATGAATAAATGAATGAATGAATGAAAAACTTCATTTCAAGAGGGTTGCGCATAATAGTGAATTCACACTAACAAACCTGTGGCTCTTTATGTTACCCCATGCTAGCCCATGCCTGCTTCAACATTGCAATCTATGATGCATTTGAAATTCGTAGTCAATAAATGCGGTGCCCAAGAGAATTTGTTATTCTGTAAGTAGGTTAGTTTGTTCGGAATCAAAAGCCTTTGTGTTTGGAATTTGTGTAATTTGTACCTTTTTTTAATACGAATTATTTCACCCAAAAAAGTAAATAAAAGTAATGTACATAAATTGTCACCTTGGGAATAATATACAAAGTTCGGCCATTTTGTGAAACTCTGTGTAACGATAAGTTGTTATCTTGTAGATTCCAGGTCGTCGAGTGTTAACTTTGTCATCTGGCGAAAATAGTCTTGACCCAGGATTACGTGGCAGCAACACTAAAGGAGCGAGATTCGGCTGGTCACTTGCTAAAACAGGAGATCTTAATAATGACAAGATCCAAGGTACATCGTGTTAACCAATTGTTTTTTTTTACTTCAAGAACATACTTACATATGACAAACAAACGAACGAACGAACGAACGAACGAACGAACGAACGAACGAACGAACGAACGAACGAACGAACGAACGAACGAACGAACGAACGAACGAACAAACGAACGGACGGACGCTTAGTACGCATTTGATTGGTTAATTGGGTATATCAAATGCATCTAATTGACCATTTGCGTAATAGACTAAATTTTGATCTAAACAAGAATAGACAAAAATTTCATCACAGCTTGAAAGAGCATCACAAAATTAGTAATATTCCAAAGTTTCGTTGCGAAATGTTGTAAAGCCCCAAAGGGTATTTGGCTGTCAATTTCCCGTTTGCAATCTAAAATGACTGAAAATTGCAAACTTCGCAAGGCTATATTATCCGCATTTTACAACATTTCGCAACGAAACTTTGGAATATTACTAATTTTGTGATGCTCTTTCAAGCTGTGATGCATTTTTTGTCTAGACTTGTTTAGATCAAAATTTAGTCTATTACGCAAGTGGTCAATTGGTGAACGGTCCCTTAATGTGTTAGCGGTAGGCAAATCTGAACCTCTGTAATAACACCAGGAAACTGAGAGGGATTCCACTACCTGACAAATACAAATGGAACTTCAACGTTTCGAGAGAAGGCCCTTCGGTCGGGAAGTTAGTAGCATGCATCGGGACATGTGCTTGCATACTAAACAAAGGCAGGGTCTGATCACAAAGAGTTTACCAGAAAAAATAATTGTGCACGAGTTCGCGTTTCTCGCTACCTAAATACTCGCACCGAACGTTCAAGATCTGATCGCAGAGAATCATCCGTTTTAATGAAAAGTTTCTGTAAAAATGTGCTCAATTGGAAGTTGAATAATTTTCACTTTTAAAAAGCAGGTCATACAAGGCTGCAAAATATTTTAATTTTTTAGAAAACCTTGGGTAATATTGCATGGCAGCCTTTAAAGAGGAAAAACACCTAGTAGGAAATCCATAGCATTTCAAGGTTCTGAAAAGAGTTTTAAATAAACATAGGCAGAATTATATTTCCACACAAAATATTCAGACCATGGTCATGTGTTAGTTGTTTTATTTTCACGTTCACGTCACACTGCTTTGTTTTTTTAAGCCTCAGGAAGCGATCAAAATGCTTTGGTACCTTAGATTGTATAGCCGTATATTAAATTGTTTATCAATTATCAGTGTTCTTATATTTCTAAGATTTTATTGTTGGGGCACCACAAGATCAACCAGATCTGAACAATGATGGTTTTGGAAATGGAGCAATTTATATTTATCATGGCAGGAGAGATGGGAAATTTGATAAATATCAACAGGTTTGTTTATTGTATACAACTGAACACGATATACATGACAAGGTTGGCTGTATTCCTACTCCAGTGATACGTAGAATATCACTAGTAGAAAAAAGCTGACAAACTTGAAAGAGTTTGACAGTAAGTAGCTATTTGCATAACACAGTACCATATGGTCAAGATTTACTGATCTGAATATTTCTCGCATGCACTCACAAAGAGTCAATTTTCAATGGATATTTAATAGAAAAAGAATACGCGCAAATGTTTTATCTTGACTTTTTAAATGTTCAAACAATACAATATATACCCTTACGTCTGTGGATGCATTTCCATCAATGTGGACAAACGAGGAAGAAGCTTTTTGCTCATTCGAAGAAGCTTTTTGCTCAAGAATTTCTTTGAAATTCCAATCGTTAGAGTGACTTCACGAGTTTTTTGTAGAGCTCAAAAGAGTACAGCCGTCCGCCATTTTGAAAAAGAAATTGAGAGCATGGGTGGAAAAAATTGCTTTGAGAACATCCCCAGTGCCGGTACGATGGTGGAAAAGATATGTTGACGACTCAAACGCGTGTTTAAAACAAAACGATATAACAGCTTTTCATGATAATATAAATCCTTGTATTCAGTTTACCATTGAAACACCGGCAGTAAATGGAGACATGCAAACAATCGCTTTCCTGGATACAGAGATTTGTAAAATTTCTACAGACATTTCGATTAAAGTTTTCCGTAAGAACACACACCCCGACAAATATCTAGATTTTGGCTCACATAGCCCTGTAAGAGACAAGATCGCAGTTATAAAATCATTGTTAGACCGAGCGAGAGTTATTCCATCAAACCAAGTTTTACAGAAGGAGGAAACGGATAGAGTAGCAGAAGTGTTAGAGGTAAATGGATACAAGAAAGCGTTTATTGATAATATTAGAAATACGAACAAAACACAACAAAATTCTTCTGAATTTGAGATTCGTGGCTCGACGTGTATTCCGTATGTGAAAGGTGTGTCGGAAAAAGTCAAAAGCATCTTAACTCGAGCAGGCGTTCGGACAGCATTCAAGCCGATAGTCACGTTAGAAAATGTATTCATAAAACCTAAAGAAAGACCAGAGGAAATGCGAACAAAAGCTATTGTGTACAAATTCAAATGCGATAGTGACTAATGACTATGATGAAGACGAAACAGGCGAAGACGGTCTTGAGGCGAGATTTACGTAGCTGTTAGTTCATGGTAAGTTTAAACAAAGCAATCTAATATCAAAGCGTTTCTCGAATTATTTATTAGCGTGTTTCGTCTAACATGTGAATTGATTTTAGGTGCACATATGGGCATATGCTGTGAAGAGATTCTGGAATGTATGGCCAAATTTACGTAAGATGGAAAAGACCGCTGAATGATTATACAGCACTGGGACTATCCTCTTTTTACGCACCGAACACTCGAACAGTATATAACCGCAAATCAACAAGCAGAACTCAAGACGGGCAAAATGAATAAGTCAAATTAATTTCACTGAATTTTGGTCAGTTTTCATCAGTATTTTCTATATTCGCAATAATCGCAAATGGTTGTATTTTGTAAGATTTTGAAACATGTATTTTAATCTATGTACTTTAATCTATTGCTTTGAATATTAATATTTTGAAATATATGAACAAAGTGTGTATAACAATACCGTCGTGCGTAACAGTGCATTCATGAAGGTAATAACTCAGTGTTTGATTGTTGATATTTAGATACCTTCGTGCAGTGGCGTATATCGGTGCATAGTGAGATGGACATTCGCCATGCTTGGATGGGAAAACTCTAGAACGCTTCCAGCATGCCTGTATAATGAAATCAGGAAGAAGTATATCGTCTGAAAGCAACACTGGATATAAATAATCACAGCAGAGAACTGAGAACGTTATAAAAAGTGTATGTTTAATACTATGTTACGTAAACTGATATTGTAAATTATAAGTATAAATTAACCTAGTCAAATAAATATATGGTTCTTCACTCGGACTCTGTCGCGTGAGTATGATCGACTAAGTATATATAGTGCGCTCGGGCCTCGGTAGTTAATAGCCTACGCCTGTTGTGGAAGCATAATTTCTTAACTGATAAGGCCAGAAAGGAATTAAATTAATTACGGCCTAGAATAGTATTCATTTGGCGCAGCTAGTACACAACCAGTGACTATAAGGAATAAATTGCGCGCAAACAGTATATAGACACGGCACGTTTCAGCAAACGCAAATGGACGAAAACATGACACACTTGAAGCGTAAACAAGCAACGAGCTTTATGTATGACGTGCGAACTGAGGTACTTTAGACTCTTTAGTACTTATATTCCTAATAGTTTATTGCGTTCCGGTATACTCAACTTCGTTTAGTTGAATTAATTTCATTTCGCCTATTCTGTCATAGTACGGACTGTATAAATTCTAACTATATCCAACTATCTACAATGGACTATATACAACGAAAATATCTACAATATGCCACAACTAACGACATCTGAAACCTACACTGCTACTACAACATTGATTTCGCATTTCGGCGGCTTATAAGCAATAAATCGTCGTATGGTGATATCATTGCATTGATTTAACCAATGTATCGCATCTACATAAGGCAGATTTATTTGGATTTTGTTTAAATTATCAAAAAATCCCAATTCAACGCAGTTGAAGCTATATTGTTTATAGTATTTACAGATAGGAAGAGTGCACTGTGTCACACTGCATACGTCATCATGACCTCTTGGGCGCGCGAGGAGTTCATCAGCTAAAATTTTCATAGCCCAACTTTAAACGCAAAATTCACAAACTTCTGGTTCGAAGTTTTCAACAAGGTTGGTATTAAAATGATCAGAAAAGATGAAATTTTCAGATAATGCAAAAATCACAAAATCGAAATTTTCATTGCATATACACTTTAATTAACAAGTATAAATATACGTTGTATGTAGGCTCATAAACATGCGTTGTGCTCTTGTATTTATTTGCATTATTATAAATTTGCACCTAATTACATTAATTTGCGCCAAATTACTTTCTAATTCATCATATATTACTAGAAAATGTATGTTTTCGATTGTATTCAGCGAGGTGGCGTGATGCTTTCGATAGCATAAAAGCAACCTACAATTTCGAAATTATTCACCACCTGATGATTCCTATACGGATGAAACAGACTGTTGTGTTTTTTTGAGGGAAAACGAAAAACTATATTACGCTCTATCTATATGGTATTGAGCACTGTTTGTGTTTCGTATTGGATGGAAGAGAATTATCTTCCGTATCTGGTAAATATCTCTTACTTATGCATAATAATTATAATATACTGGATACCAAGGACATTTCCAATTTGCTTGCGACATATGGATATTTATGGGACTTTACTTACAAACCAGACTGCGGGGTTGGCCATTTCGGAAACTCGAAGTGCGGGTGCGCAAAACAGTTCCCAAGTGTGCATCAAGATGCAGTCAAGGGCACAAAAGTAGCGAGATACATGTTAACAACAATGAAAATTAGAGATTACAGGGCAGGTTAAATTGCGAAAATTGTTATAAAGTAGTAAATTTCTGCCTAAAAAATATCGCGTGCGACGTTGACTAACTCTGCAGTCTGGCTTACAATGACTCACATATTCATGACTTTTAGTCGCAGTCTACAGGGGTAACTACAGTACACTCTAAATATGAATAAATGTGAACTTTAGGAATTTATTAGCCAGCCCCTAGTCTTCCGATTTATAAAATGGGAGCTAAATTTTTGTGGTGACATCTACCCTCAGTGTGTAATAGATAGTTTTGCTCACACAGCTACTCGTGGTCGTGATTCTACAAGCGTAGCAGATCAATACTGGGCTCCTTGCGATTTTGGGGCGGCGGCGCGGCGGCGACGGCCACAACACACTCCTTCAAATACTGTAAATGGTAGTAAAAATAATTCGACGCGTATTATCAGTCGTTTAAATTTAACACAGTCTTACATTTAAGACATATTTTATTTTATTTTATTTTACAATATTTCAGAGGCTCAGAGCGGAACACTCCCTTACAAGTAACCTTAACTATTTATACAGAATACATATAAGTGATAATTATTAACAACACGATTTAACAGAGAGACTAGACAAGGTACGACATGAATGACATTTAACATGGGTTTTATGACTGGGTAGAGTTCGGCTGAACCTGGTATGAAATTGCATTTGTTGCGGCTTGAAATGCAGCCGTTGCATCAAGACGAAAAATCTCTATTTGGCGTTGTAATTACAGAGCGAAGACAATGTCTAAATTATTCATATATTGCGATTATTCCATTCTCTCAATGATTTATTGTATTGGAGGCCGTTGCTGTCGCGTTGCCGCCCTGGGTCGTAGGGTCTCTAATGCGAAAGCTCAGCGTCTTTGACTTGTGCATGCAAGCGCTGCGTTTAGTATAAACGTACTACAGGGTGTGTCAAAAAAAACTGAACAGATTTAAAATTGCTCTCAATTTCGCAAAGCAGCTATTTGTATCTGTTTTTTATATATATAGCTTCTTTAGGTACTTATAATGTAAAATAATGAAAAAAAATTCTCGAACTCAAATTTTGTGAACCAGGGGGTGTGTCTTTTCCAACAAACTAAAAATGGCTCGCGCACAACATTTAAAAGCTGCAATCATGTTTTGAGTTAACAGATGGAAAATTTGTCGGGAATTTAATTACTGTCCAAAATTTCAGACAATTTGGTTTAGTTTAAGCCCCTTAACTATTCACGCAAAGTTACAATTTTCCCGAAAAATTAGCTATTTGCATGCTTAATTAACGCATTTGCCTAATTTGCATATGTCAGCAATATGCAAATTAGGTAAAGGCATTAATTAAGCATGCGAAAGGCTGACTTTTTAGAACAAAATGAATAGTTAAAGGGCTTAAACTAAACCAAATTGTCTGAAATTTTGTACTGTAATTAAAAACCCAACAAATTTTCAATCTATTAAATCAAAATATGATTATAGCTTTTAAATTTTGTGCGCGAGCCATTTTTAGTTTGTTGGAAAAGACACACACCCCTGGTTCACAAAATTTGAGTTCGAGAAATTTTTTTCATTATTTTACATTATAAGTACCCAAAGAAGCTATGTATATAAAAAGTCAGATACAAATGGGTGTTTTGCGAAATTGAGAGCAATTTCAAATCTGTTCAGTTTTTTTTTATACACCCTGTATATGTAGCATATACCTTGCGCTGTTGCGTGACTAAAATTTTCCGTGGCTTTTCAGAGCGAGATAATCCCACTTGATAATGACATTAACAGGATATTAAATCCCTACAGCGTCAATTATCGATAATTTATAGCCTACTGCGGACACATTCTGTCCACACCTCGCGATTGCAAATATTTTACAGATGTTAATTTTCCTTTTATACTATACCTTACGAGGCAGATTATAATCTGGGGGCATGCATGTCTGTGCTCTTCACTATATTTGTATGATATAGTGGGTATTTGTGCTAATTTTATGTTAGGGGTCAGAATTGTATACGTATATGTTACCATCATTATGTTTGTACATATGTTATCATGAATATGCTAACAATAGCATTTGCGGTGTTGTTGCTGCTAACTATAGCATATTGTGCTGTTGCTATTCGGGTTTATTAGCTTATTAGCAATATTCCCGTTGTTACCGTTTCATGTTATTGAAGTCATTTCATGTTTTATGGGCTATAGAGCAACTTGGCTGTTTTCAGATGCCCACGTTGAGATTTCAACTTTGCCCTTGGGTTTTTTGCTACACAGAACTTTTTCATGAATTTGTGGCATTTATATATACGATTGTTATAACTTTGTATTGTTTTGTGTATATACGTGTCAAAGTTGTGTTTTAAACATGTGTACGTGTGCGTATATATATTCTGCCTTTGTTCTTGTGTCAAATACCCACAGTTGAAACCAATATGTTATGGGATGGTGCGGCTGCATGGTTGTTTTCAGATTGCCCGAATATTTATAATTTGCAGCATTGTATAAATGGAATATTCAATTTGCGGCTACCTCCGATGTATGCCACTGTGATTATTCCCCGCTGCTTCGTTTTTTGTATGTTTCTCTGTAAATTTCAGATGCCCACGTTGAGATTTCAACATTGGGTTTTTCCTTCACAGGACGTTTTCATGAATTTCTGGCATTTATATACATATATATGTTCATGTTCTCATTCAGTCTGTTCTGTACACGTGGCTGTTACGGCTGTTCTCGTCTAAACTTATGTTGTGTCACTGTGACCGTATATAATTTGCTACTGTTCCTGTGTTAGGAAAAAGGCATGTCTACGTGGGATAGAGCGATTATCGTTTTCAGATGCCCACAGTTGAAATCAATATATTGTGGGACGGTGCAGCTAGTTGTTTTCAGATTGCCCGAATATTTATATATTTTGCAGCATTGTATAAATGGAATATTCAATTTGCGGCTACCTCCGATGTATGCCATGATAATTCCGCTGCGTTGTGCGATGTATGCCAACTTCATTTCGTTGTGACGTTTACATATATGTCAATACTTCTATTCGTTTTGCAGTATTGTTATAGAATAACAATTAGATTATTCCACTGCTTTTTGTCTTACAGGTTATTTTATTATTGTACAGTATGTTTTTGTTAGGTTTATAGTCCGTTTAGCCGGGTATGTCGATATCAACCGGTCAAGCATAGCTAATGTACATGGTGCAACTCAAATTTTGCTTGTCTGCGTTCTTTAGTCTTTTCTTTCAGAACATCCATGCTACTAGCCCAAGCATCTCAAGGACCTCAAGTACAAATGGTCGCTGAAGAAAACGTCAATCGTCCACCCTTCATGATTGCCAGTACACTGACAGTGAAATGTTATGGCCAACTTGGTACTTCCTATCCTTCAACTATTTTCGTCCGCACCACCCGCGCTCTAATATAGATTTGTGGTTTGTGACTTGGCAGTAGGCGGTGGCGCCAAATTACAAAATTTGATACACATTTGCGCTCTTTGCGGCCAAACCACATACTGCGATGCCAGGGGGGTTAAAAATCATTAGGAAGCCGGAATACGCGACTTTCCTCTTGTTCGCGCACTGTGCCAAAATTTAATTACGCGCACGCAATCTCAGAAGCCTACTTCTGGTTATTTTGTGACAATGGGCTTCCAATCTCTTGACAACTTAGACAGTCTTCATGTAAGGCAATATATCCGATTGCAAAATTTTAATTTTCATCCTCTCGATTCTCCAGTAATGGCGCCCCAACCGCTGTCAAGTCTCGACCAACACCAGTCACAATAAATCAATTAATTTATTAATGCATTTACTGGGTGGACATGATGCGAAATGGATTGTTTATTCATATGAAGGTTTTACATTTGCGAATATCGTTTTATGCAAATTATAATCTTTTATCTGCTGAACAAAACCATGAAATTGTGAACACTATATATTAAATACCTAGGGGAATAGCTGCGTGTTCGCCTTTGGGTATTGTTCATACTAAACAAGCGCTGGAATACATGATTTATTTTCTCTAAATTCTATTGTTAGTTTTGGTAGTCATTGCGATAAACTACGTTCGTGTTGATGTCATACATTCGACATGTTTAATTATACTTTAATATACGGCTTCAGAAACGGTTAGTTGCTAAAACACAGCTAAATATTTCGCATCATGACTTCCCGGCTTGGCAGCTTCGCAATTATCACCGATGCCGCATTCATCTTGCTGATTTCTTATCTCTTTGCAAATATTGGGGAGTGCCAATCCGTGAGCTCTCATTCGCAAGAATTGAATTAGACGCTATATGCATGACAGCGCTATTTATTACCTGAGGATCAGACTGCGGAATTTAAATTAAGTCACTTGCGTAAAAAGGTAATTCAATGCTCGATTGCCTTGCTTAATTAATTTAGTTTTGTAGGTGGTCGTGCCACGTCATGCTTTGTTACGATGGCTTGTTGATCTTACAAAAGGCATCCGATCGGCCCAGCATAGTCGCTATATCCTATCACACTCGGCAATTTGCGAGGCGGTGGTAATTCAGCGTATAACGTTCTTAACAGATGATGCTGCATTGGTTGATATTATAATAAGGCTATTCGGTTCCATTTTGGAATTCGGCTGTTATGATATTTGTACGTAAACTGGTGCTTGCTTGTTTTTAATTAATAGCATTAAGTATATCTTTATTTCGTACTCGGCACATATCTGGATTAAAAAGTGTTTCAGGGAATCCTTTATCTCGGACACAGGTTGCTACGTTGAGACAGCTCGCATCGGCCAACGTTCATTCATCACCAACAGTCATTCCGGACTATTATATATATAACCTCAGTTCACGTTTCTAAATTTAATTTACCCAGTTTGTTACTAACGGTGTGTACAACAAATGTTTTGTTTTTCGCAAACGTCATTGCCGGCTGGATGTTGAACTGGCACAAGGTTCACATTTTAGCAGATGCATGTTTATTTCGCCCGAAACTGGTGATTGCCTAGGTATTTTAATTATCTTACTTATTCATCATCGCTGGATGTTGAAAAGACACAAGGGTAAGGTTCACATTTCAGCTGATGATATTTATTTCGCTAGAAACTCGTATAATACGGTATTTTATCGCCTCGGGAGACACTTATTGGTCATCGGTTGGATATTGAACTGACACATGGGTAAGGTTCACATTTCAGCTGATCATCAGTTTATTCCAGTGGAGGCTTGTATAGTAAACTAGGTAATTGATAGCACTGTTATTATCTAGACCAGTGTAAGTTCATTGCTTTTGACTGACAATAGCATATGCAGTCAAACTGACATAGATTGAGGTTTTCGTAACATGTGGTATCAGTATATACGTAGATATTTTTCATGATCATCTGCAAACGGTTTGCCAGGTTGGGGTGGGGTGTGTCTCCTTTATCCCAAAGAGACTTGTGGCGTTAGTAATGCCCCCACCTTTTCTGTGCTAAATGTTATATAGTTATTAAT